GGGCCGGGCAGGGGAATGGCCGGCCAGGGGCGCAGAGCGGCCCCTCCCAGTGAGCGGAAAGGCGTGGACAACGGTAAATCCACACAGAGCAGTTTGCTGGGAGGTGACACACCCTCTGCGGGCAGCCGGGGCGTGGAGGTGGCGAGCGTCAAGGCGGCGTGTCCGGCCTCGCAGAGCCCAGCCTCGGACAGGCAGGGCCCACCCCACTTGGGGTGACCCCACGGGTCGCCCGGCCCCTGAGCGAGCCCCGCCGAGACCCGCTGCGCTGGGGCGGCGCAGCCTCAGGCGGGCCCCTCCGGTCTCTCAGGCCTGCTGGCCGCCCTGGTCGCGGGCCCAGCGCCAACTGGCGTCGCCGGCTGCGGAGCTGAGCCTGAGCCCGGAAAGGAGACCACGGAGGCCGGGAGCCCGCCGGGGACGACCCCCCCGAGGGGTGCCGGCGGCAGGGGTGGCCAGACAGGGGCCGGGGTGCTAGATGCAGGGCACGGGCGTCCGGGATGACCCCAAGCCCTCCCCGCGAGGCTGGTTGGCTCCCGGAGGCCCACAGCGGCAGGGCAGCTGCCGCCAGGGCTTGGCCTTGTGTCCACTGGACGTGGAGCGGGGCGTGGAGACGCGGCTGGGTGGCCCTGGACGGAAGCTGCAGGCCCACCGCGCCCGGGGACGGAGCCCGGGCAGCGGCCGCGGGAGACTGAGCCGGGGGAGGCGGGAGGCGAGGCACAGAGGAGGGCTGGGTCCTGGGAGCGGGGTGCGGGGTGCGCCCCCAGGAAGGGCCCCGAGGGTGAGCGGCAGGAGGAGCCGGCGCTGGCCTCAGTGACCGGGAACAGGCCGGTGAGAGAGGGGGAGCGGTGAGGAGGGAGGCCCGCCCTGCTCGCTGCGGGGAGGACGCACCCTCAAAAAGCCAGGGTTTCCACCTGCATGAACCCCGCCTTGCACGCCTCGCAGGGCCCCCGCAGACGCCTGACAGCCCTTTGTTACCTGAGCGCGTCTCCCTGGGCCTGACTGCCAGTTGGCGTCTGCGCACCTCGTGTCTGTCTCGGAGCCTCTCGCTCGCCAGACACCCACGATAAGCCACGGCGCTCGCTTGGGCTGGACTGGCCACGCCCTGGGGGGCGGGGGGCAGGGGTGCGGTCCGAGAGGGGGGCACCCCGGCGTGTCTGCACCCGACAGGATCAAGCTGTTGCCCTGCACCTCAGGGTGCAGGGAGGGGACCCCTAGTCGTCCCACACAGGGCTTTGTCCTGTCACCACCCCACACCAGCGGGTGGGGGGCCTCTTTCCGGGGAGCCTCTTCGCCCGAGCCCCGAAGACGCCAGGCGGGCAGGCTCATGCCCTTGTTACTTCCCAATTTGATGCCCAATTTCTCCTTTTGGTTTTATGTAACTTTTGACTCAGCCAAATGTATGTGGCATCCCCCCGCCCAGCACCCCCTTTTAAACGCCATAAAGCTTTCATACGGGGTAGAACAGTAAGGAGCCCTCCAAGAGGGTCTGGGCCAGGCCTCTTGGGTTGCACATGCGATTGGGTGCCCAGGACCTCGCCCCGCCTTCCAGGCCCCCCCTCCGGCCCCCACCCAGGGGAGCCCTGTTCCCCCACCCCTCGGCTTGCCTGCAACACCCACGCACTGTGCAAGACCCGGCTCTACCATCCCAGAATCACCAGCTCGTGGCCCGGCGGGTCGGGAGCCAGCTGGCTTAATCGGGTTCACGGGTTCAGCACTCAGCCAGGTGGAAGCCCCGTTTCCGGCCGCCACCCCGAAAGACTTTTGGGAAAACTCAGCCAGCGCAAGTCCGAGGAGGGGGCCTGTTAGTGGGCGCCAGGCCTCCCGCCACCCCGCCACCCCCAGGGTACACAGCTCAACAGAAACACCCACGAGCGCTGAGGATGTTCAATGCGCGTTGGCTGAGTTGTGGACTAAACTACATTTGCTTGAAAAAAAAACCAACAAAGTCACTTAGCTGCACGTCCTCGCCCAAATTTTAAGTGCACAAATGAAATGGAAAACATTTATTACACAAATTTAACTACAAGTCTAAGAAATAACATGCGGATTAGGTCGAGTGCAATCTGCAGAGGCTCACGCTGGGCGGGAGGGCCGGGATACTGTTCCTCGGCGGGGTTCCGCCCGGACTCGGGGTTCCCCCGCCGCCCCGCCCCCCGTGACTATTTGGGGCGCCTGGCACTGCAGCCGTGGGCGCACACCTTCGTCCTGTCACCCCGGTACAGGTGCCTCCCCGGTGTCTCTGGGGCGATGCCTGCAGGCCGCCCGAAAGGGGCCCCCCGAAGTGAGGACTTCGGGTGTCAGAAACCAAACTCCCACGCAGCGCAGCCCAAGACGGGACAGGGCGCCGGGGCTCCGGGGTCACACCGCCTTCTCGGGGCACAGCCGACGGCCTTTGTTGCTTCTGGTTTCCTGCAGGCTGCGACCCGCCGCGAGGCCTCCGCCGGCAGCTGCCCCTCCCGGCCCCTCCCGGCGCCCGGGCGCGGACATCTGGTTCTCATCTCCGCTCGGCGGCGCGGCGCGGCGGCGGCGAGGAGAGTCTCGTGCCCCAGGGTGGGAACGGCGCGGCCTTTTCTGCCCTTTTCCCTGCACCCCACACGC